AGAAACAAATCATTTCACCTCTGAGCATATAAAGTCCCCATCGTGGGGACACAAAAACCCGTGACTGCCTTCCCCACAGCACAGCCCCGGGCCTGGAGGTGCTCACCCATCCTCCCCAGCAGAAAGCAACGTGAGCACAGTAAGAATCCGACGGGCGACCTTCCTCCTGAGTCGCAGGGTATTAACAATGCCGGAAAACACATGGCTTCGGCAATGCTGAGCCCCATACCATATGGCAAGAATTGTTACGTAATTTCTAAGTCCACAGTTCAGACTCTCTGGGGCCAGGGAAGGTTCATATCCACACTGACCCCAGCTATGCTTTTGTATCTGGTGTGAAGATTTATAGAAAACCAGGAAGGAAATGAAAATCGAGGTTACTGGATGTCACTGTCATCTACCAACATGGAACAACATTTTAGGAGATCTTTTTTTTATACATGTGTTGTTATACATGTCCAGAATGTTGTAACTGCAATCAGCAGAGATGGAAACATTAACGAAAAGCACTTGGGGTTTATTAGCACTGATTGTCACATGGTAACTTTGTCACCTCTAACTCGGACCTCGCCACGTGCGCAGGCACACGCGAGGATGTGGGCTCATGGGGTGATGCCATGCTTGGGGCCCAGCGCTGCCGGCTGTTCAGTGTCTTCTCAGTCCAAGCACGAGCATTTCTGCTTCAGACTCAGGCTTATCTGCCAAACTCGCTCAGAACTACCTAGTCAAAGGGCAATACAGGGAAGAGGTAATACATTTAAAATGTAAAATGCCTCAAAGCATGATTCAGTGCAAGGCGAAGCGCTTAACAAAAAAGGCTTTGATTTGCTTCTGAGAAGTCCGCTGGCGCAGCTGGACAGTCTGCATAAAATGTCCCCCCTGCACCCCGCGCCTTTTTTTGGTACTGGGATTGAACTCAGGAGTACTTTACCACCGAGCTACATCCCCAGCCCTTTTTTATTTTTTTGCAACAGGGTCTTTCTAAGTTGCTGAGGTTGGCCTTGAATTTGTGATCCTCCTGAGTCACTGGGATTACAGGCATGTGCCACTGAGCCCATTTCTGATGTGTTTCTTTCTTTTTTTTTTTTTTAAATCAGAAAGCTGGAAGGGATCTAAGATCATACCAGACCACTATCTTCTCTGGTCACAGATGAAGAAAGAGACCCGCAAAGGTTATCTTGCCCAGGGGCTGGGGATGTGGCTCAAGCGGTAGCGCGCTCGCCTGTCATGCGTGCGGCCCGGGTTCGATCCTCAGCACCACATACAAACAAAGATGTTGTGCCCGCCGAAAACTAAAAAATAAATATTAAAAAAAAAAAAAAATTCTCTCTCACTATCTCTCACTCTGTCTTTAAAAAAAAAGGTTATCTTGCCCAAAGTCTAGCAGCTTGTGATAAAACCAGGTCTCATTAAATCCCGGTATAATGCTCTTTCTTTCCAAAGTACGGATGCTACTACTGTCACAAAGAGACGACGATAAAGACGATAATGCACATCAAGGGAGGGCGACCATGCGCTGGAGATTGCCTTGTTACCTCCAGTTACCGTACGGGGAAGCAGAGCTCAGCGAGAGGCAGTGCCTTATGCTGACAGAGGGCGTGGGGCCGGGACTGACCACACAGTCTGGTGTAAAAGCCCATTTCCTTGGCGGCTCCACGCAGTAGGGGGACTGTGTGCTTCTGCATGGAGAAGACCGGAGGAGAGGCTCTTGCTCTAGCTTTTAACCAACAGCACGATCGGGAACACGGCATTTCCACACATGAACGTGGAGAGCTCTCGCCCCCCCCCCGCCCCCCCGGCCTCCCCTGGCCCTCCCCGTCCACTCGCTCATCCTCTCCCTCCCCAGTTCTGAGAGCGGCTTTGAGAGGCCGGGTTCGATATCAATGATGCCATTATCCAGGGAGCCTGGCAAATAGGTTGGTTTCAGGAAATGTGGGCTCCCCCTTCCGTTTCCTCCGTTTCCCACCAGAGAATGGAAGCTTCTATCTTAATGTGTCCATTCACTGCTAAAAACTGAATTCTTTTTAAATGAAGGAAAATCGAATTAGTACGAAAACCCAACAACTGACCTACTATTAGTGCGTTTACTAGACAGATCATTTATGGCGGATGAAAACTTGAGCGACACGCAACCAAGAATCTCACTTTTTGGTTAATATACAAAGGGTCTCTCTCTCTCTATGAGCCAAGAAACCCTCGTTCAGGTTTAACTGAAACATAATATCGATGTGATCCTATAGTTAAAAATTCAGTAAGATGTAGGCTCTCAGCCCATGAGAAATCATCTCTGTCTTTTGACGTATTCCCAAACATGCTATTTGTAATGAAGCGCTACAGAAATCTTTTAAGTCCCGCCATTGAATTTTATCAGCTGTACTTAAGGACTAGTTTAAAAAAAAAGAAAAGAAAAGGTTTGTCCTCTATGCTGGGACATGAATGACCCATTGCAGAAGGCTGACGTGGCCTCTGTGGGCCACCGTGGAAGATGTGATTCCAGCAGGTGCAGAAAAGAAAGAAGACTATCTTCCTGAAGCATGATTCTAACCGCATGGCTCCAACAGCCCTTGTTTTTTTACCTTATCAGTACCATCTTCTTAGTTTAGCTTTCAGGACTTCCTGTTATCTGGCCTCGATCAACATGTACAAATAGGTCTCCCACGGCATCCCCCCCCCCCCATTCAGCTTCTGCTCAGCCCATTTTTTACATCTTCCCTTATGGAAAAGTGGGATGAAGTATCATTTATGGGTACCTCCACTAAACAGCAAGCAAAGCCACCTATTTACCACAACCACGACCTTATGACCCAGGTGCAGTCATTTTCATCTTACAGAAAAGAAATGGTAGCTCCAAGAAATTCATCATCCAAGAGAATCAAAGCACAAGCCCTGAGATGCAAACCGGGTCTGATCTCCAAGTCGCCGAGCCTGCCTTGATTCCACGTCACCTCCTCACCTGGTGCCTTCTGCACCTGCCTTTGACTGAGCTTTACGTTTCACTTTTCCTTTTTAAATTGCTAAGTAAAAATTTTACATATTTATGGTGCCCAACATAATACGCATGCCTTATTTTACCACATGATCATTGAAGATTTTTATGCCCAATTTTTTGCAAAAAAAAAAAAAAAGTGGAGAGTGACCATTAGGTGAAGCTTTTCCAAAAAAGAAATCATGTCAGTATTACTTAAAAATCAGTGATAACTAAACTGTCTTGGGTGCAAGATTAGGATGCATGGACACTTGTGACTATACATCATACAGTGACGATGATTATGCAGAGAAGTAGAGTACAGGGTGGAAAGGCTAAATCAGGCTGACGTCACAGCCCCTCAGATACTTCTCAGTTTTCCTCCTCAGCTTAGCCTTTATACTCAGTGTCAGTCCCCTCATGATGGTTCCCTGTAAATTTCCACCTGTCCGTATTCAATCTCTCTTTGGATTTTCCATGGTGCTTAAAACCTATAAAATGCAGAGTTTCAATATTATCTAAAAATGTTGTTTGATAATGCACTGCTTTTGCTTCCACATATATCTTTAGACTTCTCAAGGGCTCCCTGGGCTCCATGCACAGCAGGCGTTTCATGAATCCTTCAGGGATTATTCTGAGGTGTTCTGGCTTCCTGGTTGTATGAGAGGAACTGACACGAGAGGCCAGGCTGAGGCACAGACTGGTGGTGGGAGGTCACAAACCAGAGCGTGGGAGGGCAGGCTGGGCCTATCTGACCAAGAACCTTCAGTGCAGTCCAAGGAGTATAGATCCCCAGGTGATGAGCGTCCCTGGAAAGTATGTGGGGACTGCACAGGAGAAGCTCCAGCCGAGGCAGAGGTGTCTGGCCGCATCGTGGACAACCGCAACTGGACAGGGAGAGACACTGGGCTCTGCGTGACTATAGCACTTGCCCCCATTTGTCTCTGCAACTGTAGGAAATATTTTACTTGAGTCGATTTAAATCTAAAAGCACACATCCAGAACAAAAATACACACAGTGCTACCAGTCAAGACTCCACACTCTATAGAATTCATTATCTAAAATCCCAAAAGGATGATTTTAAAAAAAAGACAATCACAACCAACATTAAGCACTAGTCACCTGTTTTAATAAAATACATTGCTGAAATTGCAGGAATGAAGTTTGGACAGGCTAACAGAAGGAATCTTCCTGGTTCGTGATGATTGATATTTGAAAATATTATACGTCAAATAATTTCTCAACAAGTTTGCTTTAGGTGGCAAGGAAAATATGTGAGAGAATCATAGTCACCTTGATTTAGGTGTTCCTCACTACATATATATATATATATTTCAAAACATCATGCGGTAAGTGAAAAATAGATGCAACCTCTGTCAATTAAAAGTTACATAAAAATAGTTACGGACACAATTAGAAGGAAAGGAACCAATGACTTTCTTCACCAAAACAAATGCTTCCCTCCCTAATTAAAGCAAATGTGACGGATGCCTAGCAGGGCCAAGATTCACCAGGGTCACCAGTCGTGTAACACAGCAGCAGGCAGGAGTGCCACATGGAATGGGATGAACACGTCAATGGCTGTGCAAGTGGAGTTGGGGCAGCCTTTCCCTGAGGAGCATGGAATTCTGTCCCTGTGACCAGGGAGGGACTGCATCGCTTGGGACCTGAGTGGGTCCAGGAAACCAGCAGCCCCTGTGCTTTGCCCACACACGCAGAGAGGGCAGGGGTTGCTGAAAGCCAGTGTCGGTGAAACCCACCACAGAACACCCACGGTGGCTCCCTGTTATCCCCAGTGCTGAAGACAGTGCTGCCCCTTTACAGGTGACGAACTGGACGTTTACCTCCAAGGCTGCTCGGCAAGTGCAGGGCAAAGCCAGGGCTTGAAAACAGATCTACTGCCTTCTAAGCCCGAGTGCTAGAATTTGAAAGAGTAGGTGTGAATCATATGGGGGAACAAAATTCCAGACATCATTAGAGAAAACAGATAGGAGGGAAGAAAAGCCAGAGGACCAGGTGCAAGGGCCCACTTACCGGCATATTTTGAGGTGTTAGACTCATCCATGGACCAAAAGCAATAATCAAAGGCAAATACCTGAGTGGGAGAAAAAACATCAAACTTGAAAATTAACTCTTTATGAGTAAATCTGGCTTCAAATAATAATAATGATGATGACAATAATAATGCACTATTGAAGATGAGCAGGTGCCCGCTGCATCTCCTGGACACCTCAGCGGGTGAGGTGCCGCTCAACATCCCTTCCCATAGGAGAGTAGCTGGTATGTGAATATAACTGCATGTCCAGAATCCAAAACCCAGACACCTTAGCCAGATTTAATACACACACACACACACTAAAAAACACAAAAACCTCCAATAACTCTCTTCCAAGTGTAGTCCTAGTGTCTGCTAAAACCTTTGGCTGGATATTTTCAGGCTTCTTAAGTAAGACTACAATGATAAACGTTCATTTAAACCAATTGTTTCTCCATAGTGAAGCTGAAAACTCCCCACACCCACCGTCCTGGATAATTCACCTTTGCATGTGTTAACTTCCCAAACAGCTACTGAGCGTCTACTCTACACCAGGGCAACTGATGCTTCTCCCTCCCAACCACCATTTCCACACACAGTACCACCACCTGGGTTCCAGCATCATTATCAAATGCTCAGAGCACTGTTGCCCAAAGTGTGTTCCAAGGAGTGGTCGTTTCGTGGGATAGTCCATGGGAAAAAACATTAACTCATCGGAAATGGTGCACATGTTACTCTGTTGGAATTCTCAATGCAGTTCTTAACATTAAGAGCTCTGAAAAGTTCACCAGTAAAGAAAATCCATTTGATGGTTGGGCTGTTTCGATTTCCCTGGTTTGGTGAAGATACCCTTTTGCGGGGAATACATATTACATGCCTTAAAACTAATGTTTCTCAATATGGCCCTTATGGGGGCAGGAGCCATATCTAACTCATCTTTGAAGTCTGCACTGCTCATAGTAGTTGCTTTAGAATTATTACTTGTCTAATGATCAATGGCACCAAAACTTTGCAAGGAAGCAAAGTGTTTTACGTCACAAAAGACTGAATTACACTCCCACGATTTCACCACTCCACCTACTTTATTTTAATGCTTTTACAACTGACTTAATTATAAAACTGCATCCAATTGACATCATGAACCCCAGATTCAAATTCAGTTTGGATACCTACACAAACATTCACTCTGGCCTTATGATACCCAAGTTCAAATGAACAGTATGAAACAACTGTTTGGCCAACGGACTGCGGAACATTGACTGCATTCCTGGCTTTTCTACACCCAGGCATAGTCCAGCTAAACGTCCTGCCCTGAGCAGGACTGAGCTTCAACCCTTCTCCCAGGGGATGCAGATCTGTCTTCCAGAAAAGGAGTCCCCACAACCTCCCTTTAATGGACCTCGTAATACCTGTCATCCCAGGGCCTTTTCCTGTCCCTTTGACCCACGCCAACTCCCCTTACTTTACTTGAAATGGTCAACAGAGGCTACTTTCCAATATTTAAGTATCTTTATACTGTTGCTCTCTGGAATCTCTATGAATTTATTTATTAGTTGCTTATATAAAAGGAGATTAATCATCCAAGTGTAGTGGTGCACACCTGTAAACCCAGTGACTGGGGAGGCTGAGGCAGGAGGACCTCAAGTTCAAGGTCACCTTGGGAAACTTAGCAGGACCCCTTGTAACACAAAGAGAAAGAGAAAGAGAGGGGGGTGGGGAGAGGGAGTGATGAGAGAAAAATAATTATTTATTTCCCATATATTAAGTTTCCATGCCTGCCTATCTTAATCTTTTGTGGTGTGGTATTAGGGATTGAACCCAGAAGCATGCGATCACTGAGCTACATCCCAGCCCTTTTTATTTTTATGAGAGGACCTCTCTAAATTGCTGGCCTCAAACTTGAGATCCTCCTGCATCAGCCTCCCAAGTTGCTGGGACTCCAGGTGTGAACCACTACCCCAGGGTCCATGACTAACTGGATACTGACGATTAGAGAGCTCCAAATTTATGTTTGCGGTGAGGCTGTTTAAAATGAAATGAAATCCACCCCAGATGCTGTGGGTCTTCCTGTAGGAATCATTGCCAATTCTGTGACAATTTCCTTTTTTTCTAACAGTTGATTGCTTAAAGTTGCTTTTTCTAATAAAAAGATGAAAATTTCATTTTAAGCCTGTGCTGCATAAAATCCAAATATTAAAAACCCACAAAGGACCCCAATGTATGAGAAGGCAACTGTTCTTTGTGGGCCAAATATCAACCTCTCTAGCTGAGGATGTCTTGAATTTCAAAATTCCTGAAAACAGGCATTTTAGCCTGGCAATCCCTCAAACCAGTCAAGTCGTATAGGTTATTATTTTAGTGTTTATAAGAAAGCAAGCCAAAGCCTGGGGATGTGAGTTATTTCCCTAAAACTCCTCAAAGTAAATAATTAAGAAAAATCTTTTTTTTTTTTTTAACTCTTCAGCTAGTAGTAATTCCCAACCTTACTTCCACATGAGGCCTGAGACGGCACTTTGTAGCTCCCGTGGCACTCATGCACACAGGGTCCCTTCTGTGCCTCAGCTATGTGGGTCCCACTCTAATGGTGAGCTACTTTGTGGTCTGTGTACCTCACCATGCCTGACAACGTCCTGTCCAGACCAGTCACTGTGCATATATTTTTCTATTGTTTTTTCTTTTTAAATATTTTTTAGATGTTGATGAACTTTATTTTATTCATTTATTTATATGCAGTGCCGAGAATCGAACCCAGTGCCTCACACATGCCAGGCAAGCGCTGTGCCACTGAGCCCTAGCCCCAGCCCTGTATATATATATATTTTTCAACTAATAACACAGAAAAGAGCATGGAACACACGTGCGAACTCTGTGAATAAGCACAAGTGCAAGACACAGGATGGACTTTCAGATGTAAGTTTTGGGGGATCTGGGTTCCTTCGATGGTCAAACATGGGTTCAGTCACTAGATCAGCACTGGGGTCCTCTCTGGCACCAGCACGCCCTGGTTGCAGTGGACAAACAAGTACGGCCCCATCACGCGTAGTCTGTACTCTGCCCAGGAATTATGGCAACTGACTGTCACCAGAAAAATCACTTGTCACGACCAATTCTAGGGCAATTTTAAAGATGTTTTGGAAAACTTCTTTGTCTTAGGCAGTCTGATCATTTCCTTGCAATCTTGTTGATACACTAAATTATTCACAAATGATTATCCTTTTTTTTTTTCATAGCCAAAATTTAATTAGAATTGAATGACACATGAATGACACATAAGGAGACATGATTTTCTCAGGTCTTACGGTAGTCTTGATTTTCTAATTCAACATCCATTGACATTTCAAAAGACATAAAATCGGTTTTTTAAGAGTTATTCCTTTTTGTTCACTTCAAGAATTTTTTTCCAAAGTCACCACATTATATTAGAGAAACGTGTTATTTTAAGACTCTAACTCATTTCATTGGAATTCCTCAATATCTATTTAGTTATTCATTACAAGTCACTAGCATCTGGACTGGACAGTGAGAGATGGAGGATTTCTTAATGCATATGACTAAGGAAAAAATCAAACTGGAAACCACGTCTAAGTTTTATAATTCACCCACACCGACCAACATTGTGAGAACACTTTTTTCTTTTTAAACATCTATTCTTTAGTTGCAGGTGGACACAACACCTTTACTTAGTTTTTATGTGGTGCTGAGGATCGAACCCAGTGCCTCACGACTGCTAGGCGAGACCTTTTGCTCTGAGCCCCACCCCCAGCAACCCCACCATCACCCTAGAACATTTTCTGTAAAGGGCTTCACACCTCCCCAACTAGCAAAAGAGCCAGAGCTACAGCTGTTCTCCAGTCCTCCTTACAACCTGAGAGCCACTGTTGTCCTTGTTTTCAACAAAATTCCACCCCACCGTCTCAGAATCCCGCTGCTGCCTCCACTCAGGTGAAGGTTCTGGCCAGCGTTTAATTCCCTGGAGCTTGCCACACACCTGCTGCACCTCTGCCTGCCTCTTAACAACGTGAGCATGCACGTGAACCACTGAACACCTAGTAAAGTTACCAAAACGGCATTTAATAAGACACGTGTTGAGTGACACTCTGTGGCAATGGAGCCCCAGCACTCACGAGCAGGATGCACCAGAGTCAAATTCCACTCTTTTCAGCAAAATTCAATTTACAATTTAAATATATGGAAGCAGTATCTTCTATGTTTCCTGGAGGAGTAGAAGGCACGGGCATTCTAAGGAACATCATCTATAATTGTTTTTCTGGTCCCTAAAAAACAAAAGCAAAGGCACTTCCAATGGTGTCACCTCTGTGCCCTTCCAAGAATCCCTTCCTAGCTCTATGCTTTCCTGTGTTCTCCACCTGCAAAATGCTTCTTCTAGAAAGCAATCTGCAAACACCCGCTTGCCACCTCTTTCGGTTTTTTTTTTTTGCTAGAGGGAACTCAGAGATGTTCCTAGTTATGTTTCGTGTCCTCTAGTTGCTTACGATCTAGCGAGGAAGACAAAACAGCAAAGCATTATTCCTGAAGATGCACATGTTGTTTCTAAAGCTACTTCAGTACCTCCCACATCTTCTTCCCAGGCACACTGTGGTTAAGCTAATACTCAGGTCCATATAGCTTCATTTGATGTGAAGAAACACTTTGAATAGACACATCAGATTTCTGCAATGAGTCAAAGCCCACCCTGTGTCAACTGCTTTCTTCATTAAACTCTTCCAATGTCCTCTCAAATGTCACTCCCTTATGAAAACTTTATTTAAGGATACTGCTTCTTATTACTCTGGATCCCATACCTGCCTGACAAGATTTCATGTGTGTGTGAACGTGTGTGTATATGTACACATCTACGTAAGATTCCCTTTGTTCTACGTTATTAGTTCCTAGAGGACAAAGTCTTGGTTTTCCTAATCTTTCACTATTATGCCAAACAAAAGTACTCTGAGAATTTACACCTTAGAGGAACTTGCTGATGAATTACCTCTGAATTAATCCTGTAAAACTGTATTTTCACATATAATCACTGCTTCAAATAACAGCACAGAGCAGTGAGT